TTGGCTGCTCTTCTTAAGGAAACCAAAGATGCTAAAGAAATTCCTTCATCTTAGCAAATGGCACCTTCTCAACTTTCCTTCTTGCTTCTGTCTCAGGCCCGAACTTGATTTTCTTCAGGCTCCTACCATAGGAAGTGAACCCAGACCTAAATCTCACAGCAGCTCCTCAGGGTGGTTTTGCTTTTGACTTTTATAGGAGAGGAGCCAGGAAGTCATCGGTGGGGCAGCTTTACAGTTGAGATCTATTTTATTCAAGGCCTTTCCTGTAGGAGATGGTCAGCTACTGATAGCTCCCAATCCCGGTGTCATTCTTCACAATTGTGCATTCCGCGGACCTTTCCTAGGGATCTACACCGTGGCAGAGCATGGAACAGATGTACGGGGTGATGGTGCACAGCTGGGGCTTACAATGCAAAGACCAAGTGGCCATTCATTTTCATGCCTCACTCCAAGCTCCATGGAGTGATAGCCGGGCATAGCAGATGGACTCACAAAACTTTGTGGCATATGCGGAGAGCATGTACGCAGCACAGCAGAACCAGGGTGGGGACTACTGCCAGAAGAGGCTCTCCCCAAGAGTCCAGGTGATGGCCTCTGGTCATCAAAGGACCCTAGGCTGGGGTGTGGCTGGGGAGCTGCTGGTTACAGACATGATTCTGGAGCCACTCCTTCTGAGTCCAAAGCCTGGTATGGTTTGCTTTCTGCATGACTTTGGGCAGCTTGTAGGACAGTTTCATCTGTCTCCTCCACACAGCAGGCTACACAGCAGCAGGGTGTTGACTTCCCATGGCTGTGCTATGAGCTATTCCAAAGCTTATAGCGTAAGTACCTCCCCTCCCTACACTGCCCTCCCCAGGTTTGGAGGTTTGAAGCCTGGTTCTGAGTGGATCTGCAACCTGTGTGGGGGTCACACAAGGTTGAAGTTGAGGTCCTGACTGAGCTTGATTCTTGTTTAGAGGGTCTGGGGAGTGTGGAGTGGGGTACAACTTGTACCTCCCGGTTTCCAGGTTTATTCCTACCGACAGCAGAATTCATTTCCTGGGGGCATAGGACCTAATTCTCTCTATTTTCTTGCCGTGTGTCAGCAGGTGTCAATCTGGATTCTGAAAGGTCATTTATGTCCCCTTTCCCTTGAAGTCAGGAAACAATAGTCAGACTTTCTGGTTTTCTCCTTGCCCATAGACTCAAGGGATCTTGATTAGATTGGTATATCAGATCAGATATACCAGACAGTTTCCATGTTCCAAGACATCTTACAAAATATATTTACAACAGACACACAATATAATTGGTCTGGGTTACTAGAATAGGGGTGTGTGTGTGTGTGTGTGTGTGTGTGTGTGTGTATACCAGGGCTGGAAATCTTGGGAGGCCATCCTGGACATCTGCTGATCACATCTACCTACTTCTACAGAGGCCCACGTGAACAAACGTGTGTGCAGGAACTGGCATGAAACAAGCATGCTTCAGGTAGGAGGATTTACACATGAAAGATTAGTCACTTGAGTTTCCGGAATTGACGAGAAAATGGTTGAGAAGAACGATGGTTCGGGACTGGAAACAGCGGCATGGCTTGTGGCTCTTCACGGAGGGGCTTCCTTTTGATCCGTTTGGAAACAGATGTGACAGCTTCCTTGGATGTCCATCAGTGATACTCCCCTGCTTTAGTTCTTTGTAGAGGCCAAGGCAGTGGGAGCCAGTGTGCAATGAGTAAGGAGCCTGGCCTGGCCTTCTGGACTAACTCACTCAGAAACCATCTGCCTGTGGCTTCTGATTCTGAGCAGCCCGAGGTCCCTGAAACCACCAAAATAATAGTTTTTCCCAAATCAGCCCAGCCAGGCTCTAATTAAGACGGATGGAAATGAATGCCCACTCCAGTTGCCCACCACATGTAGGCTGTGGCTGGGGAGCATTCCCAAATACTGGGAGGCCATTTCTCTCTCAGCCTGGCACTGCCGAAAGAATGCTCAGATAAAGACCAAAGTCCTACTGACTCTGGGAGGAAGGTGAATGGTCACTGTCTGTGGCAGTGTGCCTGGACTTCTGGGCACCCTGCAGGCTGAACACCTCGTGAGAAATGGATGTGGCGGATGGTCTGGTGTAGCCGCGCGGTAAGCCAGAGAGCTCTCCAAGGGCACTGAGGAGGG